TTTATATATGTTTTTAGGAGATATATATATATATATATATATATATATATCATTAGATATATATCATATCAGCCAATACTGGGCTTTTAATTGAGCATGTTAATTTCCCTTATAGCATATGAAGTGATACTGGCCATCACTACAGTTCACATATGCTAGAAAAAATGATTCTATTAAAGGAATAGTTCATCCATAAATCTGGCCAAGCTATGAGTAATACATCATAACGCTTTCTCCAGAGAAAAAGTCCATCCTCTTTTGTCCTCTTACATCAAAATCCACAAACATATTTGTTTAGAACTGCTTTGGACTGTTTTCACCTATAAACGGTGCTTGATCTGTGCATATTTCTCTCCTGATTCAGACAAGGTGAATTTTTCACTGGGGAAAGAAATATTATGTATAAAGGATATTGTAGCAAAAGGTTTGAATTTAAAAACGTCTTGATGGATTTCTTTCTTGCAAAACACACAGCTTTTCACTTCACTAGATGTTAATTGATGGACTGGAGTGGTGTGGATAATTGTGATGTTTTTATCAGCCGTTTGGACTCTCATTCTGACAGCACCCATTCACTGCAGAGGATCCACTGATGAGCAGAGTGATATAATGCTAAAGTTCTCCAAATCTGTTCAGATGAAGAAACAAACTCATCTACATCTTGGATGGCCTGAGGGTGAATACATTTTCTGCAAATTTTCATTTCTGGGTGTACTATTCCTTTAAATTTGTTGAATATATTATTGCTAGTAACAAACAGTTTGTTCACATAACCATCAACCAAGGGAAAAAAAAAATACTGCAAAAATCACTCTTTACCCTCACAAATCACTTGCCTTCTGTCATGTTTTTGTGAAATATCTTGTGTCCATTTTCTTTATGATGTCCAGTGAGTAAATGGTTTTCTTTTTGTTTTGACATTTATACGTGCAGGCCTTCCACAAGTTAATGTCCAGTACTAGAACCCTTCAGCACGCTCTTCAGCTCATTTTCATTTTGGGTTGAACTATTCCTTTAATCCTTCAGTCTGAAGCTGATATGACCTCTGACCTGTTTGACTCTCTCACGTTCCAGTTCCGGCGTGACCCCTGTGGTCGTGATGCGCAGACTCTTTTTGAACATGGCCATGCGGGTCTTAGCATCACTGAGCTGGATCTTAGGCAGTCTGGTTCTATCCTGTGTTTGTTTGTTCTTCATCTCCTCTACCAGACGCTGGTTATACCTCTGCATCTGCTCCATTTCCTGTACAGAAACACATTTAGAGTAAAAATTCACACCAATATCAGCCAGAAGAGCACATGTAAGACTGATCTGGGAAGTAACCTTCTCGTGTCTTTTGAGCAGCTGGTGTCTTTGCATGAAGTACTGGTCTTTCAGCTGCTGTTTGTGTAGCTGGTGTTTTTCCTGTAGGTGACGCTCTTCTAGCTCCCACATAGCGGCTTCTCTGGCTGCAAGAATCAGGAAGAACAGTGTTAAATCAGCTGAACACTGCTTTCAATGGCATGGCTTATATTACAATCCTCTTACTGTCAAAAAAACTCCTTAAAAACTAAAATAATTTTAAATTCTACAAATTTAGGCATCAAAACATAACATACAATATGAAAAATTGATATTCCTTTGAACAGTTGTTTATATTTTCTCTCTAATACCCAGGGCAAAATATTTAAATAAACATAAAAGGGTCCGGAGATGCCCAAAATACATCAAAGTCAACAAAAAAAATGGTTTAGCCAATATTTGCATAAAACAGGTGTGGAAAACAAATGTGCAAACCTGAACAAACAAATGCTATCATTGTCATATTGTTTCTTTTTTTCCCTCCTCTATACAGTATATCACCTCCTGAACAGCAGACAACTCATCAGGTTTCAGGCATCTGAGATATCATGTAGGAATTACGTTCGACTTGCAGTATAGGAGCCTCTAAAAAGCCCTGAGGAGGGCATATGGAGCAGATGCCATGGTAATGCATTTAACAGCAGGATCAGACCAGACCAGACCGCTAAAGGCCACATGAGAGTCTGAATAATCTGAACTGCTAACACTGCAAAAGCTGTAAGTGATCAGTTGGGGAGGATGAGAGTGAGACTTTTAGGGCTAATATTGAGCGGCGATGTCCGGACTGACCTCTCAGGAGCTGCTGCTTGTTGTTGAGACAGTCTCTCTCGATAGTGGCCAGCTCATGTTTGTGCTGCTGAATGATTTTCTTCAGAGCACTGTCCAGATCCTGCTGCTGCTTCTGAAGAAACTCCTGCTCCTACAAACATACACACACAAAGCGTTAACAACTAGCATTAAAATAGTATATAGGGCAATTCTGGCAAATGCTGTCCAGATCCTGCTGCTGCTTCTGAAGAAACTCCTGCTCCTACAAACATACACACACAAAGCATTAACAACTAGCATTAAAATAGTATATAGGGCAATTCTGGCAAATGTACCCTAAACAGAAACACTTTAGTGAACCATTTTAGCCTACAAGAAACTAAAGCTCATTTGGAATGAAAGAGTCTTGAGCTTAACTGCTAATCACTATTCTTTCCTCTAAACGACTCTATATTTAAAGTCAGCATGAATAGAGCTACTTAATCGTGACGTCTATTTGTTGGCCAACCGGAAGGCTAATTCTGTATGGGAATTTGTAAAGGGTTTTTAGAACAGCTTTTTTTTTAATGAGGAAAAACTAATCTGTGGTAAACATTACATTAATGACAGTGCTGTTGAAAAAGATGAAATTGCTTTAACCATCTATACAAGTTAATATTGTACGGACTTCTCCAGTTGAGACCAAACACTGACAGTAAAGTGGATGAAGAAAGAGGAAAGCGGAGTTCATGTTTCACAACAGACACACCGCTTACATCCTGCAGGGCGGCGCTGGAGAGACTGTGTGGTCACATGAGCTACATCCTGTCAGTACAGTCAAAGCACACATAAAGGGTTCAAACTTAAACTGTATGAACAAAACACACCAACGCACACATTTGCAATCTTCTGAGCTGAAACAATTAGCTTTATTGTGCTTGTGTAACATGCACCACATAATCAGAAGTGTAACACTCTTTTAATATACTATAAAATCTGAGTGTTGTGCAAGCAAACAACAGAAAAAAAAAACAGATTTGAAACAAATTTTTTTACTACAAAAACTAAAAAAAAAAAAGGACAAAATGTGCCTCATCTAGAAAAAACAAAAAGTGAAAAACAACCTCAGGAGCAATTTTTTGGATGTTGCAGTACCTCCTCACAAGGAGATTGTATTAGATCCTTCCTAATATGTTTCAGGATGATCACATATTTGGGTGAGAGCTCCTGAACTCCCCGAAAAAATGCCAGTGTCAGAGAGGGAAGATAAAGAAGATTTGGGTGGATTTTACAGGGTGAAGCTCAGGCAGTGGGGATTTTATTTAGTTGAGGACACATCAGAAGCAGTCTGGGAAAAGAGCTCACAAGCGTATTAAAATCAACAACAGGAAGCATCTTCTGGAAAGTGGGGGGAAAAACATCCTAAACTCTTCCGTACCTCTTTCTTGCGGTTCTTGAGCGCACTCTGAAACTTGGAAAGCTCTTTGTCCTGCTCGGCTTTGATGCGTTTGGCCTCGTCTCTGAGACGCTCGGTGTGTTCCTGCTCCAGACGCTCAATGGTCTGTTTCTGCTGCCGTTCCATATTCTCCACCTCCGTATCATACTGACGCTTCTTACTCTAGTAAGACAAGAAAACACAGAAATATAAAGCAGATCTACAAGTATTGCCCCTATGGAGATGTGTCATGTTGAAATAGACATGAATAACAAATCTTTGCCATGGCTGATGGCATTATGTAAAACAGGAGGAAAAGTACACCATTAGTGACAAAATAAAATAAATAAATAAATACAATTACCCATTAAAATGACTGTTGACCAGGTTAACTGGCACAATTCCAGGTATCTTAAAATACTGACCTCCCCTTCATAGTCAGACACAGATTATGTACCCCAAAAATAATGAAGCTGTTGAGCATGTGATGTAATTCAGTGAGGTTCTCGCCAGTGTCTCAGGCTTTGGTGTCACCAGTAGTGTTTACACGCCTAACTAAAGCTATTAATGTAATAAATACCTGAAAATAATCACATCAGCAGAGTATCTTGATAGGCTTTGGTTCCTGTTGTGGCAACAGAGCATGGTTTCAAGGGTGATCCCAGTAAATAGTTGTTTGACAGCAGTTGGTTCTTGCTCACCGTGACTTCCTGTTCGAAGCGTCTGTAGATCTGCTCTCTCTGCTGCTGGAGTTTGTTGCTGAGCTGCTGTTGGGCTCGCTGCTCTTCTTTCTGCAGAAGTCTCAACTCCCTCAGCTCCTGACGCCTGAAACACACATTTTACACTCATTTTACACTGATCCAACAACAAAAATAAAGGTTCTTTATTTGCATCTAGCATTTCATAAAGAACCTTTAACATCCACAGAAACTTTCCATTCCGTAAAAACGTCTTTATAGTGGATTAAGATTCTTTAGAACTTTAAATTGTTCTTCACACTGACAATAAAATGGTTCTTTTAAAAAACTGAAAAAGTTTGGGGAAAATTGTTGCGAAAAAAATCCTTTTGGAACCTTTACTTTTAAGAATGCACAGTATTTAAATGACTTTTACACTTAATCATTTTTTAGCTTTTGTTATGTAATCCATAAATCCACCTACAAATGTTGATTTAGGCACATTTTTGCAGTTAAAAAGTATTTTATTACTTATTCCTCAGTTTAAAGTCAACATTAAACCACATTTACAACCCATTTTACTTCTCATTTAAGTATAAACTGGATATTTAACAAAGAAACATCAGCTGGATGACTGCATTTTCATCCCACACTTTTTTTTACAATTTTAGGATTACCAAAAAGTAATAATTAAAATCTAAATGATTATTATAATTATCATTTTATCTCTAAAATGTTTAAGACTGATGCTAGACGAGGAAAAAAAAAACTGCATAAGGCTGAAAGCAGTAGAGCTTTTCTGGAAATGGCATTATCCAGTCTAACAGGATGCTCGCCCAGGCACGGACAGGAAGTATCACTCAGCTTGTTTTCCTTTTAGCACATCTGGTGTTGGAATATGAGGCCTTTATCCGGTTTATAAACCGCACTAATAAACACTGCACAGGAAACTTTTTGTAGTTTTGAAAACATCACCCCATCACCTCTTTTATAGCGTCCAGCTACGAAAGACCATTGAACACTTAAGGCCACTAGCAATCTGTGTGTGTCACCAGAAAACAGGTGATGTTGTTACAAGAACCAGACGAGGCAGACGCTTTTGCTATAAACTAAAGTCATTACCAATGAACGCAAATATGATGCAAACATGAGGCAAACATGCAAATCATCTCGGAGCAGTTAAACAGCTGATGGCTCACCGGAGGAATCTCATCTCCTCGTTTTTGATGTCATTGTCTGTGAGGATCTTGGACGTTGTTACACTGACTTCTACCCCATCCACCATGAACTTGCGAGTCTTTTTCAGAGTCTTCTTCTGCCTCTTGTTGTCCTAGAACACATATTAAATATTATTTATTTGGAAATACTGAATAAAAAAAAAAATCCTGATATTTTTCAGCCTTTTTATGATTTATAACAAAATATGATAATTTTATATAAGTGGACTGAATAGGCTTCATTAAAGGTGGGGTAAGCGATTTTTCAAAAACGCTTTAGAAAACTGATTCGGGCCGAATAGCAAAACAAACTTCCAAAGCCAATCAGCAGTAAAGGGCATGTCTACTCATGATGTGGAGGAGAGAGAGTTCAGTGCACGGGACGGACATTATCCGAGCCGAGCGACAGAAAGATAGAGATGGCGGATAAAAAACAAAAGAGGAAAACATCTGCGGAACAAAGGAAGGCTTAAGGCAATAAGGCAAGAAGTAGGACCCGTGTAAATATCGGATCAGCTTTCCAGCGCTGGAGAGAACTCAAGGAGCGGTAGGCCTGCGATCGGACGCCGAGGTTGCTTTGTTTCTTCTCGAAAGGTGAGTAACACCGTGTCTGTGCCGCAACAGCTAAAGTCTGTCTAGTACACTGTACACAAAGCGACCGTTGAAAATCATTTGAAATTTGGGTCAATACGTCATAAATAGAACTCAGCAGCAGTTTTCTGTCGGGGATTTGTCGTGTCGTGCTGCGCCGCATCCAGTGTAGACCATATATGTATATATATCTATGGCGTAGACAGCACTGATTACAATGAGTTTTATAGTATTTTGTCGCGCCGCGCCACTCGCGTCCAGTGTAGACATGGTGTAACATTGGTTTTGCTTTGTTTCACAGAACTAATCGTTGCCTGGGTTGCGTATGTATGTGTGG